AAACAAACAATATGATATTACAGAGGATCCAAACCTGACATTTGCAAGTTTTCAAAACTAGGCATTTTGAGCAGAGCAGAGTTATAAACTTTAAGGCAAAAGGTTGTGAAAAAGGTTTGTACCCTGATGGCTACATTGTCAAATATCAGGGCAGAGTTCTAAAGGCAAAGTGTTGTGTCAAGAGCTAAAATCAAAAGGCTATATTGTCAAATATTAAATATATCCGTCAACCTCGATGAGATAATCAACCAAGTAATACTGTGCAGGAGGATGTAAAGAATCCATCAAAATTAATTTGATTAGTTTACCTGCGCTACATTTATCCACCGTGTGATGTACTTCCCCCTCATGTTTGGCCCACTTGTTTTGCTTTCAGTGCATGTTAAGATGGTGGAGATGACACGAAGAGACACAGCATTGAACTGGTCAACTGTGGCCTTCACTGTAGCTGCTCTTCCTTCCTTCTTGTTCTTACCCCAAACACATCCCAGACAATGCCAAGCAATTACCTTCTTGAACAGTTTCTATGAAAGGTGTATAAGATAAAAAATAACTTGAAACTGCACATGTGTGAACTGCAGTTATAGTCCATCGAACATTTTTGCTCATGTGCAATTGGTCTGAATGCATCACATGACAGAACATTCCTCAGCTAAAACTAAGGAATGTCTGAGGATACACCCCCATGGTGATATTAACCAAACCTTTCATCTACTACAATGAATCTTCCTTTAAAATTTAACTCAAGATGACGGAGCATTTTGTGCTATTTACAGAAGGAGGGACTTGTTTCTTTTGTTCATAAAGTCATATGACAGAACACCGAAAGGTGAACATCCCATGCAGTAAACAGTTTGGGAAACTGTTCCGCATCTTGGAACAAACATTGTCAAATATCCAGATGTGATTTGCCACCAAAGGAAGGCTGTTGTTTATATACAACAAGTTCATAACTAAGACTATATTTAAGAGTCAGACTGTGACTTCAGTGGGCCAAGAAAACCTTGAAAAAGTGGACTTCCATTGGTTATGTGAAGAGACAAGAATCTTTAAGACAAGTGTAGATGATGTAATCATTTTTATTTCCCATATCACAACATTGAAGTTTTTTTGGGGGAAAAATTCAGTAATAGGTGGGCATCTTATCCCATACCATTCTCTATACCTTTCCTTAGGTGTTGATGAAGAGAATTTGTTTTATAACCAAGAGCTTCTTTGGGCAGTGATCATTTTCTTTATACTCTTGACCTTAATGTGTGATTCAGTGGTGATATTGTAAGGAAAAAATTAGCTGCAAGTCACTCATGGGGGGAAAAAGGTTAACTCCCCTTATATTCTACTTCAAGTGCTCACGCTTAAAATTCTGAAGAAAAACAATTAATTTGAGGTTTCCCCGCTTCTGGAGGAAATCCAGTGGCCTAATGGTTGGAGAGATAGACTCTGAGTTTAGAGGTCTGGGTTTGAGACCAGGCCAGGTCACTGCATTATGTTCTTGAATGGGTAAAACATTTTACAGTGGGGGAGGGGGGGTAACTTTATGACAGTTTAGCATCCCATCCAGAAGAGAGTGGTAATACTCCTAGTACTTGATGCTATGGAAACAATGATAAACTTCAGGCTGGATGGGCCACTTGGCTTGAGTACACCCTTATTTTTCGTCCTCTACTTCTTCCAATCTCTAAACTCCAAAGAGAGTTTGTTACATAGACTATATAAATACTTACCGCATCCATCATTGTTAGCTGCTCGGCGCACTCATTAGGTGGTAGGGTCAGGAAGTCCAAACAGGACTCATTCTCTTCTGGTATCGAGCACATGTCATCTTGAAAACCAAACTTTGGTGATACAGGGAGAGGACACGTAATTATGTCAATATCTAGAGCAAAACATCAAGTTGAGAAAAATGCGTTAGTTTTAACTAAGTGAATGTGAAAGTGAAAGTGAATGATTCAATACCTTAATAGCAGCATAGGCTGCTATTAAGGTATCGTGTTACTATCATGGAATGAACCATTTACCATTGTATGCAGAGTCAAGGAAAAAGTTTAGAGTGAACTGGATGACAATTTGTCATCAATGCATGAAGGGACCACCAATGCTTGGAAAAAATAAATAAAACACAACTTGTATGCATCAAGACTACTTGTATTCTTGTAAACAATTAATGACCATGATGATTTTTACATGAGGATCTCTCTGGTGACAATTTGAAGCTATTGTTCCTTACAGGTAAGCTTCTAAATCTTTTGCTCAAAATTAACCCTGGTGATAAAATGGCAAAAACTATGAGCAATGCACATGGTGTGGGAGACTGAGCCCTAAGTATATTGTCAATGGAGCTATAAACTATATGACTTGTAAATATAACAAATTATACAATACAAAACATTACAATGATTCATTTACTAGTAGAGTGTATCTAATTACTGACTGTTTAATAAGCTGATGGGAGTGTAACCTTCACTTATCAAAATTTCAGCATTTTCCATGCATCTCCTAGCTTCTAATTCTTTACTTTACTCTCTCTGTGAAATGAATATCATGGCTAAAATGACATTCCATTAAATTTGCAATGACTACCCTCACTGAAACCAAGCAGGGCCTAGTTGTTTGAAAGGGCATTATTGATTAAACGAACAAGAAGGGATTTTGAAAAGCATTTAAATCCAGAATTAAAAGTTTAACTTTTCATTGATTTTTTTTTAAATAGAGCATACATTAGGGCTTACATTTTAGGGTTCATCCGACAAATGTTGCAACTGAAGGAAAAATGTTCACAATTAAAACTATCTGAAAAGCCACAAAGTTAGATAAAAAGTTATTGGTTGACTCTAGCCTAGATTTGTCGTGCTTTGAACAACCCAGCACAGATGTAAAGATTCTCACCTTCATCTTCAAATGGAGTGATCCTGAATTTATCAAGACGTTGTTGTATCTTCTTGGCTAACTCTTCTCCATGACTAGCCTTCATCTCTGACACAACAAAGTTCTGTATCTTAAGTAGAGTTGTGTAACCGGGCTCATCAAAATCAGATGGAAAATGCTCTAGCCATACATGAAACACTGACGCAATGCCCCTATGGAAACAATGGATGGGAAAAACACATGTTATCTTGTTTGAATTTTTTTCTGCGTAGTGTTGCTGACTGTTTTTGAAAGTTCTGCTGTATTTTGACAAGCCTTCAAGGTAAGTCAGGGTATATAATATGCCAGTGAAGTTTCCCCTTCCCTACTTTTCTCACTTGAAAATCCTGTTCCTGTCCCTTTGAGCAATTAAAAAAGGCTCTAAGAACTTCCATCATAGTTCGATTGTACTAGCAAAGCACAATTTTGGATATTGCAACTGAAACACTTTTGGCAGAAGTTAGATACATTGGCAATTTATCATTGATCAATTTACTGCCCACCTCAACACTTTATCAGCAACCTCTTCCTTTTCCTGAGAAGCATTTTCCATGAATATTTGGTAACTGAAGGAAAAACAAAACAAAATGTTACTGCCACTATTAAAAACACACACTCTACTCAAATGTTCCCCTTTACCTGAAACTGAGTTTTGGTGTGAGTCACCTAACATTTTATAAGAGTTTTGGGGCTTCCACAAAATAAGTCTCATTATTGTTTAAGTCTCAAAGAATAAAGAGTTATAACAGCTTTCTCTGAGCAGTTTTATCAGCAGTTACTAAATAATTTTTTGCCTAGAGCTGGAAGACTTATTTTAAACTCTGTATTTAGGAGAAATGCAAATCACTGAGAAAGGAAAAGGAAAGTTAAATTTTTCTTTCATTATTGATAAAATATGGCAATATGAAAGTCCTTTGACACAAAAACATGTGGCTGAGGACAACTCTCTTTCCTGCTATGATAAATGTCACCTGTTCTTTCAACTTCCTCTTTACCAGACAGATCAATCATTAGGCCCGTGTTTTTTTTCACAGCTGCTGCAAAAAACATTGCTGACCACATTTCAACTTCCTTGACATCACAACCCTCCATCACAACCGACAGTACTCTCTATTATGGCCAGGCTTAACTCTGCTTGACAACTTCCTCCTTGTCATACAGATAACTCATAGTTCCCACGTTTATTTACCAGACAAATCAGTCACTGTCCCCGTGTTTATTTACGCAGTAAAAAACCTTGCTGACCAAATTCCAACTTCATTGATTTCATAACTCTCAAGCACAAACCGGAGTGTCCTCTTTTAAAGCCGCTTTAGAACCCTTTCCCTTGTACAAAAAAATATACTTCTTAAAGGTGCAAGGTAGCCAAACGCAGCCAGGTAATTAATTAATAGCTAACATTTTGACGATTTCAGTTGTTTGTCAAAGTATCTTTTAACACCATGCACTTGTGTTATTTTTGCAAATTGCTCTGCCGCGCTGAAAAACTGTTTCTGTGACGAGACAGTGCCAACCAATAATTAGTTTAATTACTGTTACATCAATAACCAAATTCTTGACTTGAGCTTGACTCTGCTTAACTCTGCTTAACAATGAGTATGCATTAAAATCATTCAAGCACGATTGCTCTCTTTGATTCCAAGAATAACAGACGCGACAAATCATGCCATTGGTGGACCCAAAAGTACACACGAACAATTATTTTGGGTTACGATGGGTACTGGACTTAAAAATCTAGTCGTTTCAAACGATAACTGGCAGGCGAAGTGTCCCGAATGAGTATTAAAAATAACTTTCTTTGATGACTTTAATTTCAAAAATAGAAAGTTAATTCACGAGTAGAAAACAAAAGATGAACACTTGTCCTTCGGGAGAACCAAAATAAGATTGTTAGAAAGTTCTCTTTCTATGCCAGAAATTTACCAAATAACAAAAAATTCGAAATAATCTTACCGCTCGAAAAGGAGATCCACAACTTCCGTCATTTTTGAAAAAGTTCTATACGTAGTCATGAACGCCATAATATAACCAGGATCAACCTCGTCAAATGAAGCAATTGGTGGCGCTAAGTGTTCCACAAGCTTCGTTAAAGAACCGACTTTAATGGTTCTGATCTTCATTGTCTCCCACTGAAGATGAGAGATTGGTTGTTCGTCTTCGTCTGGAATAGGAAGAAGCTTATCGCTTGAGTGGTATCTCACTTTCTTCAATGACACCGAATAAATGGCTTCGTCTTCACGTTCTTCCTTCCAGAAGACTCTCTAAACACAATTAAAGCATACAGAGCTTAGTGTCACTCGAAAATAAACAGTTTCTAGATAAGACGAGATTTCGAAATTGTCCAGAAGTGACTGCAGCTAGACTAGTCTTCGTGTAATTTCAGAAGTCGACATCAAGGCCATGTTTCATTGTAAAATATTTTCGAAGAATTTCCGGCAGGAAATTTCCATTCTAAATTTGTTAACACTTCACTAGCTCTTTTATTCTACGCCATGGAAACCATATTTGATATCAATATTATCGAATTTACGACAATTTTAAATGAGTCATTAAATCAGGGAATAACTTACTCAGCATATTGCATCAAAACATAACGTACGCATTGTACTTGTCACGACCAACAACGCGAAAAAAATTGGAACCATACGATGGCAAGAACGTGAGAATCCTCCGTGAGAAAATTCAAATCAAACTCTTACGAAAATAGCAACTTGCGGTAATATAAAGGTAGGTGTGCATCAAAATCAAGCCAATATCTTCGCGAAATGCGTGCAATCGTTGGTAGTCAAATTGTTCATGCCAACTTACCTGGCCAGGAGTTTGCGAGCCGGGTAAATCTTGCGCGGGCATCATCTCAAATATTCAGACGCCCGAAAGGTGCGTCCCGTTAACTTTCAAAGGAGAGATTACGCACGATTCTCATTCTTGAGTTTTGGGCCACGGCCACGGCTTGCTGAGATCAAATATTCGTTTATAACCGCTGTATGTCTGCATATTGAAAATACTCGACGACCCCCCATGAAATAGAACGATACACTATACTTACCGGAAGTCAGAAGTCAACGACCGAGACAATAGTGATAAACCCGAAACGGAAATGGGAGAAGACCAAAATAAACAATCCTCATAACTCACTGTTCCGAAAAAAATTCTCCTTGAAAAAATAGCTATTGATCCGATTGGAATTAGATTTTAGAGCTGACAAGGATCTTTGGAACTTTCATTTAACGTTTGCGTGACTAACCATACTGCTACTGACGTCATAAGATTATTGCAAAAAAAATAATAAATAAATAATAATGATGATAAAAAAATCACAACATGTTCTTTCATTAGTACTGTGTTCCTAAAAGAAATAATCATTACATCTCACGTAGGCAAGTTTTATGGATTCCATAATTCCTATTCTCTGTATAACTTGAATCATAAGGTCAACGGCTTGAAATGTCCTCTGAAATACTTCCACGCTCTCTTAAGAACAAATTAGTTATGTAACCTGTATTGTATGGCCGGCTATTTTTAATTACGGACTGTCCAAAAATTTGGTTCACTTTTCTTGACTGGAATACGATTATAATGTTTTCCCAAGGAACTGACTCGCTTCAAGCTTTGCTGGGCTGTTATTAAATCCCAAATAAAAATACATTAAAATACTAAAATCTGTAAAAGAGGGAAGAAAAGCGTTCTTTAACGGAAAACACGTAAAAATAAGCAACGAAAATGAAATTTTGTAGACGCCTCTCGCCTTTGTTTATTCTCACACCGAATATCAGTGATTAAATCATTACAACTGGTACTTAAACAACATCGATGTTTCAAGGTGACAATGATAGAGTGGCACATTTGTCTAAATTCTTTACAAAGCAGTCACAAAGTCATATAATTGTCCGAACACATATTCGAAGTAGCGATGTTGAGCCAAATTCTTAGTCGTGAAATTTGATCTTTTTCCCACTTTCGGCTAAAATAAAAGAAAAGAAAACCCTTAGGATATTCATAGGCCATTTTTATCTCCTTTTTTTTGTGATCAAGTAGCCTATAACAGAGCAACTCTTTTTTTTTTTCGCCCTTACAGGTCCCCCATTCGTATTGCATCTTTATCCCAATTTATATTCTAGAGAGAGCATCACTAGAACAAAACAACTGACCACATTTCCACGCTTGTTTAAGAAGCTAATCAAATTGCAGAGAAAGAAACCGTTGTGTGGCCACTTTTTATCCTCAAAACCGCTCGATGTCGTATAAATGGAATTTTAGAAATTGACTCATTCTGAACATTTCTTCGGGTGGGAAGGGGTGAGTCTGTTAACTTTCGAGAATGGGAGAGTGAAATGTACCCTAAAAACATCCACTCAAGTAGCTTTTTGATAAAAACAGAGGTAAATTGTTCATGCTACATGCGTCACGTGATGGAGAGCAGAAAATTATCGCTAGTTGTATTAAGGTAAAAAATACTACGTCAAATGTCAAACAGATTCTGTATCAAATATCCGTTTCAGATTTTATTTCGACTAAAATCCGAATTAGGAACACTATTTATAACATGTATACGATAGATTCGTAACTTTAACTCATCACGACATTTGAAAGAAAATACATCCGTTGTTTAATAAAGCCGATTCTAAATTGTAGGATCCAAATTTCTGCCACGTATAACATACAATGTGGAAAAACGATGAAATTCAAGTAATACTTGCCGAACTGACCTTTCATCTCATGAAATCGTCTTGTGACGAAGGTTCGTCAAACAGGCTGAAGCTATTGTACAACAACCTAACAACGGTTTTTCTCATTAGTTAATGATGGAGAACAAATAAACAATGTTGGTAGGAACACTCACTTATTTAAGCACTCAGAGGGAAGAGAAAGTAACATTTAAATAATTATTTATGATCATACACGCAGGAACACTGAAATGCGTTTAGACACGTTAGAAATGTTGTGTTAATTCTGCTTAATTTATTACGATAGGATTTACGCTCTCTTCCGTTCTTCAAAAATATTGACCAAAAAAAAGTCTATCTCTTTGCACGAGAGAGAATATAAGAATATTATTTGACAAATTGGTTCCAAAGTTGTTCAAATTTACAAAGGTTCCATTGACAGAAGGTATAATATTCTACCCCAGAGCATACAAGGGTCTGTAGTGTTTCCAAACTTAAAATGACATTTCTCTGGCTGAAACAACACTTCGCTTTCGATCAAAATGCGTGCATCAACCAGCGGCTCATTAAGCTGCTGGTGTAAGCTTCCTGTATAGTTTAACATTTCGTTAAACTATACAGGAAGTTTCAAGTATCTAACTTTCCCGCCAAATCTGGTCACGTGAACTTAATGCTGCATCTGCGTTTGCGCATCCTCAAATATGTTAAAACCCAGCGGAGGCTCTGACCAGCACTGAGCAGGAAACTGCGTCTGTATGTCGTCTGTTGGCAGGTCATGTGGCCCGAAAGAAAGACTTTCGCGCAGGTGCAAGGTCCGATTGAGCTCCATTTTAAGACTTGAGTTGGTAGATGGAACCGAGGATATCTGACCGGGTATCAAGTCGTCTTGCTCCCAAGGAAATGGGAAGTCGTTCTTGAAAGGAATGTTTCTTATCATACACGGGTCCTCAGGCCAATTATGTGACAGGGGTGGGGGTGGCGGGGGTACCAAGGCAGCGGTTAGTGCTGGTTGATCTTGGCTTTTGAGGAAATTCATGAAGGGGGTCTGATAACGTATTATGGGTGGCGGAGATGGAAAACGCAGGCGTCTTTTCTTGGATTTTGATCCTGTGCTGTCCCGTCGGCTCGACCTGAAATAAAGTTCAATAAAACAAGTCAATATGAAAATATAATCAAAGCTACTTCAACTAAGGTTACCAAAGAGTTTGACAAATTAATATCATCATCGTTATTTATAAAAGCAGTGTACACTTCTAAATGTTTCAGATTACAAATAAGATTGATATAGGGCGCCAAAGGCGTAGCCTATTCAATTGTCACTACTACATAGATGAAGCTAAACTTTAAAAAAAATATTGTGTGCCCCTAGACCCTAAAAGGAAATGAATGCTCCATCAACCTATTAAAACTATGCTTGAACCTAATGTCGTTTAAGGAACTTAGTCCACTAGGACCTTAAAAGTCCAGACACAAATAAACCTAAGAGTTCTAAAATGGTATACCCATAGACCCAAAAATGAAGATAAATGTTTAAAACCTGTACTTAAAACTGACGTCGCTGAAAGAACTTAGTCCGATAGGGCCTTGAAAATCCTGGCAATATTAAGGGAACTAGAGACTACAGCTTTCTGCATGTTCAATAGCACTTGAGTGACATCAGCTTCCCTTGACCCTTCGCGAGCTCCCTCTAAGTGCGTCTATTATGATGTTATGCTGCTCAATCTTGTACTCTGGGCATCTCCTTCTTAATTCGTAACGCAGCGGAGCGTACTTGTCAAGTTTTGCACATTTGATCTCTCTATTACTGACCCATGGACAGCTCATTTTAAGTGACACTACTTTCTTCCTCTCCTTGTCTATAACCGTACAGTCTATCCTGTTGTTTCTCACCTCCGCGTGTTCTGCATATAGTGGTATGTCCCAGAGTGCCTTTCCTCTCTTGTTCTCGCAAAGTGGCTTCGGCATGTTCTGAGAGTACCACGGTGGTCCTGTTGTGACTAAGTCTGGGTCTTTCAAGAGTTCGTAGAAAATTACCTTAAGTGCTGCATTATGCCGAATTATGTATTTAGACTGGGCCAGCGCTCCACAACCTGCTAGCACATGCGCTTGCGTTTCAGCGGCCTTACCACACATGCGGCACTTCACATCCTCACTCGTGTGAGTCCCTGTCTTTTTCTGGTGGTAGACTTTCGTTGGTAGAAATTGCTGGTATGGTCCCTGCAGTCCCGCTATGGTGTGAGTCGGCGCAGTCTTCCACTCGCTCATCCAAGAAAAACATTCCCGGGATCTCCAACTGCTTGATCCTCCCATCTCTCAGTTAACAAACGTCCTTGCCATCCCTCTGCTTTCAGTTCCTCAACATCCCTTTCCTTGGCAGCAGTCTTCAACCACATCCCAATCTTCTGCACAGGTAATTTCAAATCGTTCGTTAGACATGTGACCAATGGTTGGGGATGCACCAGAGATAAGTTGAGCCCAAACTCAGATGCATATTTCTTGGCATCCTTCACCATTGATCGCCGGCCCATCTCTTCTGATCTCTCCTCAAACCGCCTTACTACCTCCGTAGCGGGATCCTCATTAGTATAGAGTCTTACTGCAGCCTTAACCTTAACTTGCTTGTACTCTCGTTCAACACTCTTCAGCCCACGGCTCCCAAGCCCCCTCGGTAGATATACTAGGGCTGTAAACCTGAGAGGGTGCTTGCCCCAGCCCATTCTCAACGATAACCTTTCTGCTTCACTTTCCAGTCTCTTAAGTACCGCTATGGGCTAGCACTGGGTGAGCATCAAGTAGCTTAGCACCGGCATCGCAAACTGATTTGAAGCCTGCACCTTGCTGTAGTCTGAGAGCGGGCTAGTCCATATCAAAGATAGACGTTGTAAATAAGTCTTGCCTGCGATCTCGAGACTGAGATTGTCATCCTATTTAGCGCTTTCAATAATTTCAAGGAACTTGTAATGAGATCCCTCACCCAAACTCATGATAACCTTCCTCTCACTGTCCCCAACACTCACTGGCTCCTCTGAATCCAATTTCCCTCTTTCCACATGGGCCACTGAGCACTTTCTTTCGTTCAACTCAAGTCCTAAGTCCTATTATTATTATTATTATTATTATTATTATCATTATTATTATTATTATGCAGATGTTACTGGTTTTCTAAATCCCTCAATAATAACTGGTGAAAATTATCGCCCAGATCTTCTTTTCCTAACCCAGTCCAAGTGCCTATATGTTCTAGAATTAACAGTTGGTTTCGAATCTAACTTGTACAACAATGCAGTACGTAAAAAAGAAAAATATCGGAACTTGATTAACGAAATGAGTAGAACTTTCAGATGTGTGAAATTTGTAAATCTCTCCATGAGCTCCCTTGGCGTTTTCTCAGATGAATGCTCTACGTTCTTAGGCATGATGAATGACATAGACATTGCCAAAAAGCAGCAACTTTACATAATCAAGAAAAGGATAAATATAGCTATTAGAGCATCATATTACGTCTTTTGTTGTAGAAATAGGAATTGGGACAACCCAGATTTGATGCAATTTTAATTTTTGGGTGTGTGTTGAATAAGCCAATCTCAAGCAGCATTTGTAAATTGCCTATACGTAGTGAGATTTACAATTGTACATTTAAAAACACAAATAAAGTTTCCATTATTATTATTATTATCATTATTACTATTACTGTTGTTATTATTGTTTTTGTCGTCACCATCATCTTCAGTTAAATTAAGGATCACACACACTTAAGTGAGTTTCCGGACTAATTTAGCTTCAGTGCCTAAAGAAAAAGGTATTCTTACACTGCGAACCTTACCTAAAACTCATCATAAGTCAAAACGCGAGACACTGTTACTTTTCCTATCACTCAGCTCTAATGAATACAATATGTAGAGGGCATTCATTTGATTGAACCAACCTTTTTCCTTCTCTGAACGCCTTGGCGAATGGATTGTTGTCGATCTTGAGTTGAGTCATGCGCGGATTCTGGTAACTAGTGACAGTGATGAACTGGGTCTCGGGAAAGTTGAATACCCATCGGTCACATTGGTGCATGCCCAGTTTAGTGATAACAAGTCTTAGTTCGTACTTCTGCATAGAGCTGACGACCACCTACAATAGGGGACATTAAACCAAGTTTTTTCAAAGAAAACATTTATCATTATTTTCTAGGGATGATGATATTTTTCCCGTAGGTGCACAGATAATGACATTAAGGGTTCGGATTAGGGTTAGGGTTAGGGCTAGTGCGGGCTTTATGATTAGTGTCATTAATAAATATCACTTACGCTGTTACTACTTGGTATAATGTGATTGGACAGTTTTAATTTGTCAAACAAGGCTCCTTGTGCCATCCAGTGCTGTCCAAGGCTGGCCGAGTTGGGGTGAAGGTACTTGCAGTGCACCTCGTCCAGTTGCATTCCTTTCCCTGCAGGAACCCACCCTTGGGGTGTCTTGTAACGATATCGGTTCATATCTGCAGCCACAACTTCAACTGCGCAGCCGTAGTATTGGTCAGGCTCGAGTCCACCAAGGAAGAAGTCTGGGACGGGAAACATACGCCTAGAATGCGAAGCGTGAAGGTGTTAAGCATGTCAAAGTGGTTCGATATTAGCAAGGGATAAATAGATACTTTATCATAAACACCTTGCAGCCATAGGCTGAATTACGGAATATTTACAAATACAGATGATAAAAAAGGAGGTATAAAATATTACAACTTCGTCGTTAAGAAAGAAGGAAAATTATCTACATCTTATAAATATGGCTAAAAATAAAACTGTTCTTCAAGCGCTCGGTTTTGCATACGGGTAGAGTGAAATCACTTTTGCACCTCAGTGCGTATCTGCAACTCTTCCTTTGGGGGAGGAGGCTGTGGAGTCTATGGGTGGGGTTACGGACTATCTCTTCAAACAGATTGGTTGAAATCTTTTCTCTCCTCTCGTGAAGTTTCGGTAGGCCAGCTGTTTCTAGTGTTACACTATATGACAGGTCAGGATAGATTATTCTGAGTGCCCTTCTTTGGATACGTTTCAAATCTTCGCTGATATAGTTTGGTAGAGAACGGTGGAATACATGACTTGCGTATTCCAAGACGGGCCTAATACATGTCACTTAGAATTGCATAGAATCAAGAGTTTTCTTGACTACGTTCAACGAGCTTTTTTCAATCTAGACACGCCTACTTCTGTCCTTATAAGCCTTTCCACCCCTACATCAGTGTGTATATTCTCACTACTGTTCTCTCTACGTTTCCTGAGGTGCTGATAAAGAGAATTTATTTGACTATCAAAAGCTTCCTCAGTAGATGATCATTTCCTTCATTATCTTTAGGGGTGATATTGAAAAGAGCAAATTGATATTAGTCGCTCTTAAACGGCCTAAGGGCTACTAATGAAGTAAAATAAAACGAGTACAGAACTTTTGCCAAAGGGCAAATTATGCGCCAGCAATGAACACAAAATCGGTCAGCTTTAAACTACAAAAAAACTCCACCCAAATTAATGCGCAGGCGAAAATGTCAATCCTCTGCGCTCCTTTTTATGAGAATGAAGAAACTGTTTCAGGGCGTTTAAATACCAAATCAAGGTGGCTTCGAGTCAACTTTTACGCTCTTAGTCAACTTTTCTACAACCGAACAAAAAAGCCGGACACTATTCCTTGAAGTTTTGTTAACACAAATTACGTATGCAAGACGGGCTGTTTGAAAGTTGTTTTTCTTCTAAAAAAAACCATTATGTAACCACTCCCGTGGGAATCTTGTTGATGAGCAACTTCAAAAGAACCTTGAAACACGTCGAAGACTTTGCATAAAAACTTCGTTAGATGAAAAAACAAGTACTGATTTTGACCCTAAATCTTGTTGTAACTTCTTGGACATTTCATAATTTGGGTCAGTTTTTCGGAAATCGTTATATTGAAGCAAGATATATTGAAAAGGTCTTCAAACATGCGTTAATGAATAGGTTCCGGTAATGGAAAGGAACGAAAATTGTTTTTTTATCCCCGTGGATATAAGAGAAGCTATGATTAGATGGAATTTTTATCGTAAAGCATGAAGCATGGAACTACGATGCTTAATGAAAGATCATGTTCCAAAATTTTGACATGCACGAACTTATATGAAAATCAGGCGAGTTCGCGAAGGCAAAGCTTTTCTCTGAGCCCTCTCATAGACTAACAAACACACAAACAAATAAGAGATTCACTTTTTGCTTTTAAAACGAAAAAAAATGAAGTACAACATACCTTCCAGCTTTGGTTATAATCATTTCAGTTTGCTCGCGGCGAAACATTTCCCAGAGTTCCTGATTTCGAAGACGCACCGTAATGGTGCTGTGCTTTCCTTCCATATTTGTTCTCTTAGCTGTGTGAAGTTTACCCTTTGAGCCCTGGCAGAGTCTCTTGGTTTTCAAGTTTTGATATTGCACACCTGTGTTCTGTTGTGAAGACCTCTCCCGTGTAGTATGCGTTTCAACTACAACAGCTCGTTCAGCGCACGTGTCTATGGGGAGCGTGGAAATCGGGATATTTGTTTTGTCTCGTTGATCAGGAGACTTCGACCTCAACTCATGAGCCATTTTCTACTACGTTTTAAGACGAAAAAAAAAAACAGTGTAAGAATTTTTCTCCACAATAATAGATCAAATTTAGCTCCAGTCGTTCAGACTTGCCTGATTGTCTGGTACGAGGTGTGCCCTAACGGGCCTTGAACGGTTAAATAACCTAACGCAAAATAATCAAATGTTTCAGTTTAAATTGGTTTTTATCTAGACGCAACCGTCACAAAAGAAAACATCACACTCTGGGTGGAAGTAATTAGTTAACTTTGCAACCTTTTGTAATGGATGCTTCCTTAAAGCTGAGAAGTTTCTTTTGTGTTAATCGCCTCTATGTTTTCTTTGACATTTCATTTGAAAAAAATCATTTGAAAGGATTATTAACTACGCATATTTGTATCGACAAATTCCTTCAACAAATGGCTGCAATGAGAAAATATAAATTCATTTGTTTTAAACTTGAAATACGTAGTATTGCCTTTGCAAATCTAAACTTAAACATATCAGGCGATTCCTTGACACTGCAGATCACACAAACGCGACTGCTGGCTGAAAATCCTCAATCTCCATTCTCAATCAGTTGTAATTGATTTAAAATGGAGATCGATGATATTCAGCAAGCAGCCGCACTTCACGGAAATCAGTCCGATCAGGAGAGCTTCAATCAACCTTGCCGAGTTTTGAGCCATACTTCTTTCACAGCTTGGAGATAAAACTGAAAAACTCTCAGCATGCGACCTGCCTTGCCTTAACTTAATTCATCCATAATCTTTGATACAAATATGGAACTTTGAGACTGGCCCGCGAACACTGAGGCAAGCAAATTTCTGGGTGGAACAAAGATAAATTATCTATATCTCATATCGCCTTCCTCTAGAAATGAATATTGATTCTAGTGAAACCGTCTCATCACATTTTGAAATTACGTTACCGCAGAAGAAAATGACTTAGATCGCGCTCATACATGTTCATCAGATTTTTTTTTTCCTTTTTGGATCCACGCGCAATAGTAGTTAGTTGTTTGGTAAAACTGTTATTTGCGTAATCATAAGACATATTGGGCACAAGTAGAACTTTGAAATACAACGAAAAGTTTTCGTCACCTTTGTCAAGTGCGAAAAGTGGCAAAACGTCTCAGCTCCACCCATGGGAAATGTCTGAAACCCTGCCTAATTTTTAAACGCTTTCGTCACTCTAAAGAAGAACCAATTTTCCTGTTTCATCCCTCTCATATTGTTCCTGAACTTCTAACAAGATCTACGTTCTCAATTGAAAAGACTGGACATGATTCATTGTCTCGTCGATCCATCCGGATGTGTGAATTAAGGGCCAGTTTTTAAACAAAGTTTTTGTTTAACAAAGCCGCGTTCTAAACTATCTTGACTTTACCTGAATCTTTTATCTGAACATTTATTTTTGTGAATGGTGTCACGAGGGCTGAAAACTAGCGGTGGGAGGACCTTTTTTTCAGTGAAAACAACCCTCTAATAGAGAATAGGCCCAGTGCTTTTGTAAACCCGCGGTTTGCTTTAGATCTTGTGCAAATAACCGGCCCTGGATCTCTTTCTAATATCGGCAAATCAAACAAAAAAAACCTCTCGTTAACTCAAAAGGCGTTGACCAAAATCCTGTTGTGTAGTTACAGAACGGAACTTCGGAAGATATCATAGACTGCTGAAGGTCCTCCTTCCTTGTCTTTGTTGGTGAATCAAGTAACGAAAGTTAACGAGCAAAAGTCCTCAGTGAGAGTCGAGGGAAAAAAGACGCGGCCAGTTGTGTTCGGATGTAACTGTCTAGCAAGGTTTCATGTGGTGTCGTTTGCGTAAGGGCTAAAAAAAGGTATGATTTCTAATTAAGGCCCCCCTCCCCCTTTCTGCCCCTTGAGACCTTCAGAGATATTGAGAGAGGAGCCAACAAGTAACAAAAATATATCATTGCACTCTTTGTTTATTGTAAGACTATGTATGATAAACGTTGCCGCAGGCTGAGTTCGCTAAGTGTTTCTGGCGTATCTATTTGTAAATGGTATGAACAGAACGCTGGTGCTACTTTACAATTTTACGCAAATTCCTTTTATGCACTAACCTTGTGCTCCAAAGTTTTCAGCTTTCTTTAGTGAAACACCCCCCTGGGAGCATCGTTTTTTATAGTTTTAAATCTTAAGGAGAATATTCATAAATTATCATCGGACAAACAGCTTATCACCCATAAGTGAATCTTGTGAGATTCATCAAACTTGCATTGAAATTTGGAAATACTATTTTTGATTAAAAAAAATCTCTACCTCCATGATATGACTGTCAAAACCAGTGTTCGTAAAAGAACAAGAACACCTTTTCTTTTCTCACTTTACTCGGGAACTGGTCATTCTTTATTGCCTGGTTGGGGGGGGGGGGGTTCTGAGGACTTTGGATATACCAAAATAAAATTTACTGGATCCCCCTAAGGCTCTGTAGCATTCTAGTCACCCCTCTCATTGGAAGTCAATTTGCTTTAGTCCCCTTTATACCCTGTTGGCTTCAACTGATCCCTCTCCATCCCCCCCCAAAACCATGTGGTTCCCCCTTAAAAAAACCATCTGAGCCTCCCCTCTGCTCTTAGCAATAAAAAATGACTGGATCCTTTAAATAAATACAAATAGTAGATTTTAGCAAGTGTGTTTTTTTTCCTTATGCTTTAGCTGCAGCCTTCGTCAGGAACTGCTGATACTGCTGATACTGCTGCTGTAACTTGCTGAGTGTCTCCTGGCTGGTGCCTCGCTTCTTTTCAACATCTTTGATACCAGCCTCATTTCTTTTTCTGAAATGATAAATAAGCAGTCTGAATAAAGAAGGCTGATAAATTTTGAGCCTCCCGGTTAGCTCAATGGATAGAGCGCTGGACTGTTGTGTGGGAGGTCAAAGGTTCGAGCCCCGGCCAGACCAACACTCAGGGTCTTAAAATAATTGAGAAGATTTGCTGCCTTTCTATAACATCAAGAATTGGTTAGATATTCTAGTCTTCTCAGATAGGGATGAATAAATGGAGGTCCCGTCTCCTGCAGGGTTGGGGTAGGAGACGTTAATTTCCCACACACGAGATTACTGTGTGATGGATGTCCTCCCCTGGGATGGGATGGGTGGGTTTATTGTGCCAGCAGTAATCGGTTCAAGCTGTTGTGGTATCCCTGCCGGTTGGCGAAGCTAAATAAAATAAAATAAAATAACCAATCTATTTGGACAAGTCCAGCTCCCCATTCCTGTTGTTACTCAACCGCACATCACCAAACTACCCCACAATGCTCAAAAATCTAAAAATTTTGTCGCCTGAAGTTCACTTGCAAATCATTTTTGTATAGGGCTTTCATCATGCAGCTATGAACTCTCACTTTTGAAGGGATACGTACCAGGGCATGAGAATTTGAGAAGCTAAAACCAGTTTCAAAATTAGTTGAAACACTTTGCTTTGTAAGATCATTCGTGCTATAAGTTGACTGTAACAGGGAGAACTGAGATAAAATGGAGACACACCCTTCCTATTCAAAATTTCCTTATACTTTTGTGGTGGCAAGGAAAAGTTCAAAGACATACGGGTGAGGCCAAGACAATTGAGATGATTTATTACTGTAAACCTATTGATCATTTTAATTAAGAACACCAACTGATAGAAAAGCATTATGATGCTTACAGTTCAGCTGTGATGTATTCTATTCTCTTGCCAACATTTTGCTTGGCTTCTTCCAGATCTTGTTTGACCAGTACAGGTCCTGTGAGTTTGTAGACATTTCCATCAGGTTCAATTATATCTAGTTCCTAAATACACAACAAGGAAGTCAGTTTGAAAACTCAAAGACCACACCCTACCAACCACAATGCATCAAAATGTCATCAGACACTATTCTAAATCATCACCGCCTGAAGCACATCAACAATTTTTATCCCTTGCTGTTCATCAGCACAACAGGGTTCCCCCTTTCACTCATGCAATTTCACAATATAAGAACACCAAACATGGCAAGAAAAAAATGACAGGAAATTCAGGCAAATTAGGTAAATCTATCAACATGTAAATAAATCATCAACCCATCTTTCACCTCTTGCACAACTTTATTTTCATTCAGCTGAGCATCTAATTGCTGTCTTGTGTTGATTAATTTCTGCAGATCTGAAAGAAACAAGATCACATTTATGACAAATGACTTGAAAATATGGTGCTGCAGTTTACAACACTGTTTATAGCCCTATGTTTTTCCCTGATCTTTAACAACTACTGGATGAATAATGGGTCTAAAGATGGGGACATGTGCTTGACGAGTTTTTGGGTCAAAGGGTGCCAGATGCATTTAGCTCTGAAACTCTTAGCCCGTATTGAATAGTTCATGGAGGTTTCTCCTAATTGAAAGTCCACCCCCTATTAGTTTACCCCAATTACAAGTCATTTGCCTCCCCAAAGTTTACCTTGTTTCCTTGAGAAGGTGGTGTTCCTTTATAAGGGGAGGGGAATAATGATGGTCTGAGTAACAAACCAAACACATTCTGCTTTAACCCTTGAACACATGGTCACAAGAATAAAGGAAATGATCACCAACTAAAGAAGCTCTTCAGAGTTTGACAAATTATCCTTGTCAGCAGCATAGGAAATATATGGAGAACAGAATGGAGAATATGTCCATTAATGTTTAGTGTAAAGGGCTAAGGTTACTTCCTACCTTCAGAGGCCAGAAAAATAGTTTTTTCTTTTTTTGGACTTAATTGAAGTTAGACATTTTAACTAACATTTACTGAAAAAAAAAAATTAGAAATCTCAAAAAGCGTCCGACTTATTTAGAAAAACATATTTTTGAATAAAAGTTATTAAATCAGGAAGGAGTCATAAGCTCATAAATGGGCAAATCCCCCAGGGGAATATTCACGGCAATTTCATGACTTTGCATATTTTGTTTACATCGCAGTTATGTGCTTGAGGAAAGTATACTGTAATCAAGATACTGTAATCAAGGGAGTAGTATGGAAATGCCAAGCCTTCCTTCACTCCAACGAAGGGCTAACGCTCGAAACATCAGCTTTTGTAATCGTTACAGTGGCCAATTTACCATTTCAACTTTGTTGATATATTCAAATTATTTTGTTACTCCCACCGACGCAGCCCCAAACAGTTTCTTTGAAAACTATCAGCCTTTATTCCTTTTTCACCCCCTGGCATACTGTTTAACAAATACATTCCATGTCACTTTGAGCATGTTCAGTAATAAGTCACAGATGAAGTTAAAATGCGGCAAGAATAAAAAGGTGGCACACGAGGCTTAGCTGAGGGTGTCACAAGTAATGTCTTTACCACATAATTTTTTACATCTTCTGTAATTCATTACCAGCAAGACCCATGCCAACATGACATCTGCTTGGGCAAGAGTTCCATATAACCTCATACATTAATTATACATAGAGTGTTGCAAAGAACCTTTATATTTAGTCTTTATATGAAATGGAATGGAATGCATTATTAATATGTGGGGTTATTTGGAACTCTTTCCTCTGCTTGTTTTACATGATGATAAAGAAAATCTTTTTTAAAAGTGAGATCATGAAGCCATCTGTCCTCCAGTAGATCATGATTAAGAACCAATCAAATTGCTTGCATAAATGGGCTTATCATATAATATCGAAACCCACGCCTATGATCGACCTTGATTGAGTCTACAACTTTTCCTTAACAAGGCATGAGGTCACAGACCCTCTATTTCCAAATATACGAGCACTCGAGCTTTATGGTGTATTACTAGTTACAACGTACCTTTCTGAACGGCTTTGAACTTTTCAAGTTCCGTTTGCATTTGTTGCTGTATTCTCTCCAAGTTGGCCGCCATCTTGAATTTTGTACAATACGAATAAAGTATTGCAGGCGCACGATGTATTTCGGATAAAGGACTGGGGCTGGCCTTGTCTGATTGCTTATGTAACGCCTGACGGAAATTGAAAATACGGTGATCGGGGAGAGTAACTCGAAAACTCAACTTCTGATCAGTTTTATTTGCTGGGAAGTGCTTCGTTAGAAAACATATTTTTGAAATTTTCTTAGTTTGGGGAAGATTTTTTCAATCAGCCACTGTTTAAACCACAGGTCATTCATCTTACAGTATTGGCGCGGATAGCTGAATATTTTTTCTTGAGACATTAGACATGGTGTTTCTAAAGGTTGCCCACAGATGTAGTCAGGCCATTTTTTCATTTGGAAGGAACAAAGGTATTGAGGCATACTATTAAATAACGTTTCAACAACATTCTTCTTTGAAATCGTGATCCTCAAAACCAAGATATTCTTATGGAATAAACTGTCAACTCAAACAGTCCAAGCTAAGAACATTACTTCTTTTAAATCATTAGCCATAGGGGACATTCAGAACATGAAGACCCCGAACCACCTGAAAAGATTTTAAACTATTTACGTTTATTGTTTCTATTAGACTTCACATATTTATCGTAGATTATTAGCACTACAAATTAGTTATTCTATATCTCCCAGCATTAGCCTAGCTATTTGGGAGTATAAGTTCTAAGTCCAAGTCCAAGCCTCTGTTTTAACATGACAAAAATATGGTGGTGTAGTTGACAGGCAATTCACTTCGATTTCATTCCGTGGGATGAACTCTCATGATTGTTTTTTGTGATACAGAGACACAGAGACTATTTCAAGTCATGGAAAACAGAAGAATTTAGTTGATTTACTTTATTAGGACTAGAGCAAACATTGTGTGGTGTGTTCATTTGACATTAAGCTTGAGTTACAATCTGAACTCAAGCCTAGTGGCTCACACCACTGGAGGTAATTTTGGTTTACTTAGAATATTAAGAAACTAAAAGTATTCTATTTTATCATGAATGGGATGCCAGTCCGTCACGCTTTCTCCCTTTTCATTAATACATTATTCTATCCTTGAAATTTTCAATGGACCCAGTAATAATAATAACAGTAATAATAGTAATAATAATAATATTGATCAGCCACTACCCCAATGGGGCTTTTTATTGGGCCAATACAAACAAACTGGAAACAAACTGGAAACAAACTGGAAACAAACACTGTAGACAAACTTATTTAGTGATTAAAGCTCCTGACTGACTGGAGGCAGTACAAATTTCAGCTAAGGAGTTGAATTCATGGAAAACAGGAACAAATCCATGTAATTGCAGGTGTAGGGCTTGAACTCTGGACATGATTATGTGTCCAGCGCTCTTATTACTGACTGTCTTACTGCCTCCTTGTACTTTGTAGTTTGGCCTGGGCTCAAAACTGGTTTGTTACATCCAGATTCAAGCATGCTGACTGTTAGGTCACCAAATCTTTCACTTTAATAGAAGATACTAAGGAGTGTGGACAAGTATGGTTTAATTTGTTTTGGTTTGTTTCATTTAATATTTTCTCACTTTGGTTTTTTTCAAATAGTGGTTCATCATCTCTTTAAGTCCTGTGCAATGTCAACAGCAAATCCTGCTGCTAAGGAATCCAAAATGCATTATTTGTTGCTGATAATTCCCATTTCAACATTTGGCCTGGGAACATGGCAGGTCAAGAGATTGCAGTGGAAAAAAGGATTGATCAAGGATCTTGAGTCCAGGACAACTGAACCAGTTCGAGATCTCCCAGAAAAGTAAAATGTTATTTTAAATTTTTGTTTTGTCTTTACTAGATGAAAAGTAATCATAACTTGTTGGAGAAAGAACTTTCTTTGTATTATTAAGAAAGTAACTGAGATCATTTTGTGTACAGTATCGATGAACTCAGATCAAAATCTCTGGAATATCGAAGAGTCCTGTTGCAAGGAACATTTGATCATGCAGAGGAAATCCATTTGGCACCAAGGTCACTAAATGAAGGTGCACATGGGGGAGGGAGTCTAGGAAGGAAGCCAAAATCTGGTGCTCAAATCATCACACCATTTGAAATCTCTGGAACAGGGTAAGGTGGAAATATTTTAGCTTAGAACTCCTCAGACCCACATAGTAATGTCTTAATATCTACTCTGATGAATACCAGTGCACTGATGCCACACTTGCAGATAAGCTGCACCTCTAGCTTGGGAACTAAAATTTTGGAAGGAAAGTTTTTGAAAAGAAGTTGAAAGAAATCACAAATAGAGTTTTAAGAAAGTTGCTTTATTTTGGAGAAGGGGGGTACTGGACACAAATAGGTTTTGAAGCATTCATTTTCAACTCAGTGTACAGCAAGGTTCCTTATCAAGTAATGTTTAGCTACTTAGAAAAGCAAAGGCAACCTTGAACAACTCTCTAGACCAAGGTTTAATGCCACCCAATAGAAGGAAATACAAGGTTATGAATGCTTATAAACAAAAACGGCTCTTGTGGGAGCCACCAAGCTTGCAGAAGGAATGATCAATCCCTATCCTCGTTTATTGTTTATTTTTATAAAGTTCTTGTTAATTTGTTATTCAATCATGATAAGTTTTTATGGATAGTGTAAATTTATACAAATTTGCGGCACATTTTCCAATTTTTTTTTTTGATTTGTTACAAAATTTATGAGAAAAGTTGCACCTTAAACACTGAATGCAAATATGGCGTCCAATTTGAGTTGCCATTGTTCTGCACTGACTAGCCTCTCACACCTGTAATAATCCTTTTGTGTTTCCACGTGAAGAGGAGGCTAGTCAGTCCAGAACAATGGCAATTGAAATTGGACGCCATATTTGCATTCGGTGTATGTGCCAGTGTTAACCATATACTTACAAGATTTTTAAAATTGTTCTTGTACATGAAGGAAATTTTTTTTCCATTGGTATTGACTCCTGTCTTTAGTTCATCTTGCAACTGATCTGAAGCTATTAAAAGATATAATAATGATATGCTTCAAGCATGAAGAAATGATTTCAACAAAGACAATTAATTTCTAGTAATTGCAAATTAAGTTAGTTACAGTAATGGATCCTCAAGCTATGAGAAAAACAGGTGCTAATTTTGTGAGATAGACAGTATAATTGCATAATTGTATTGTAGTTTGACTTTTTTTTGTATATAGCCTAATTTTGTAATGTTAATTTCTGAGATATGTCAATTTTTCCCACTTTCTTTCAAGGCAGAGAATCTTGGTCAATAGGGGTTGGGTGCCGATGGACAAAATCAAACCTGAAAAAAGGCAAGAAGGACAGGTGTGTGTTGCAAAACTCATTATGTAATTGTGGGTGATAGACTTGTTTATCAGAATTAAATACCGCAGTGGAAATTCTACGCCACGCCCGGTGGGTATAAGCGAACAGTTGGCATATTTGTCAGCATTCTCTTTGCGATCAGCAAGCGATTAACGTAGTTTGTACTTAGTGCAATCTGACAGAGAATCCTCTGTGGTCAATAATACACCTTTCCTGACCATGGTGACTCATTTCACTGTACCATCATTACAAACATTAAAAAATGTAAGGAATATCAAATGTCAAATATACTCAGATGTAATCCTATGATGGTTCTCTGAAGATCCAGTATTAAGCAATAATGTGTGTTCTTCGTGAGGCAATTAAATGGAACATTTTCTGTGTAATTCTTCCTCTAATCTGGTATCAAAAGTGATTTAGTAAAAAGTCTGATTAAAATAACCAAATTTTTGTAGAGCAAAATGACCTTTAAACTGTTTGAGTGAGAGGGTTCTTCTTGTTTCTCTTACATCTGTGGAAAATCACTTGGAATTCTTGAAAATTCTTGAAAAGGGAGGTGCACAAAATAATTATTTTCAAAAAGAGGTCTTAAAGTAAAGTGGTATAGTGTATATAAAGAAAAATGTATACACATTCTTCACGCTTGTCAGAGTGTAACATGTTCATTTTATTTGTAGATTGAGGGTGAGACATCATTGGTTTGCTTCATCAGACAAGGAGAAAAGGTTTCTGTTTTGTTTTCATGGACTTTGATTGGAGGTCACTATGAGACGACTATAATTATAAATAAAAGATCTATTAAGTGTAGGGCAGAGATCTCCTTTATTCTTTTAAGAATTAATCATCAAGGAGACCTTAAACTTTGGTGCTAGCAAAAGTGATAAAAATGCAGCATCTTGTTACACAGTGAACAGTTTTTTAAGTAGATAGATGATGTGAATTAAGGAAATTATCAGTTGGAGGATATTGAATCTGGGAATGCAAATTGTGGATTCATTTAGAGATTGAAACAGGACATAAGTCTTAATTGTTATTATTCAAGTGAGTAGGCAGAGCTTAAATTTGATCCGAAGAGGGCCAAGGCAGGGGCAAGAATTTGATCATAATTTGTTTTAAAAAAAGTGACAAAATGATGAATTAGAAGAGGTTGGAGGTTTTGAGGTAAAGAATCTGAATGAAAAAGTGAAAAATTTAATGCAATATTGAAAGTAAAAGAATTTGTCATGCCTGACTTTCCAGGAGATATGCTTTTTTTTTTTGGGATAATTCATCAAGTATGGGTCAAATTTGTATTTTGTATTTTTACCCTGTGTTGAGCTTAAAAAAAAAAAAATGGAAATCCCCTGTCTTTTTCATGACCTCATGATTTACCTCCACCCCAACCCAGAAAGAAATTGCTCTCTTTCTCAAAACTTCTATGGGAAGGGGTTTGTATGTGCACAGGCAAACAATTTTATTGAATACCTTGATTGGGAGTCTTATTTGTTTTAAGGTGATGACATTTAATATTCTTATGTTAATATTGGATCATTTTATAATTTTAATTTTTAGCGACAGCCATTCCAGGCTAAAAATAATCCAGAAAATAACAAGTGGTATTCCCGAGATGTGGATGCCATGGCAGAAGTGACAGGCAGCCTGCCAATTTTAGTTGATGCTGATGCTGGTAAATAGTTATTGACTTTTTTTGGTATAATTATTATCATCAAAGGAATCAGTTATTTCTCATTGGACATCACACCACTTAAAAAAATGTGAGATTAAACTGGGTGTAAGTTATGTCAAAGCGTGTCAAAGTACGGGAACAGGGACGGCGGAGCCTATTTTCAACTGGGTGTTTGGAAGGGGGGCTTGAAAACAGCACCTGGGGTGTGAGTTTTCCGGGGAATGAGGGTCCTTTCTGCCCCCAAAAAATCTTGGAATCGCGATTTCGGCGGGATAATCTGCGGCGAACCGGACTCTTTTCTTTTTTTGTTTTTCTCTCTTTTATTCTTTATACGTGTCCCATACTTCCCCCTCCCCAGCCCCTCCTCCTCCGCCCCCCACCTCAGCTCCGCCGTCTCTGGAGTAAAGGTAGGAAAGAAAAACACGAGTGTGTCTCGCACGTTCCTCTCACGCAAGTAGCACGTTAAGGGAATCCGGGAATTTCATTACCATTTCTTCCTTATCTTTCAGCCAGCACAGTTCCGGGAGGACCACGAGGAGGCCAAACTCGGGTGTACCTTCGTAACGAACATCTTCAGTACATTATAACATGGTCAGTGTACACCTTGAAGTTTTCACCCTTAGATTTTATGATATCTCTCATTTAGTATGTGCGCTATGATTGGTCAATTTAGTGGGTTGTATTACACGGTTCGGCCCGTTAGATTCAAAGGTTTCTTTGAACTAAAATCTCCTTCCCTCTCTTTGAACCCAGAGATATAATAAATCAATGGCGAATCTTGGGGAGGGGCCCGGGGGGCCAGCCCCCTTCCTCATTTTGGGCAAAAAGATAGGATGAAAGTAAGAAAAGCCGGCAGGTGTACACACACAACAAAACTACCCCCCTAAATTCAAGGTTTGGATCTGCCACTGTAAATATCGTGCCAACCTGTTTTCTCGCTCCAAACTATAAATTACGGAACCTCGCTTTTCCCGCTAGAATTTGTGGCCCGGGTGCTTCGCGAATGGGCCATGAATCTGAGCGAAAAAAAAAAAA